TCGCTGGGCACCCGGATCGCCCGCGAGGCCTCTCCCGTGGCACTGATGTTAGCGTGTTTTTACATGCGACGTGCTCTTGTTTGTCGAAACTGCTGACTGGGCCGTCCCACGTGGCTAAATTTTCTCTTTTTGCACTTTGACTATTTGTTTCTAATTTTTCTTCTAAAAACAACAATCGAACTCAAATTTTCACATATTTTTTAAAATTATTTTTAATCTCGTTTTTAATTTATTTTTTCTGAAAAATTCAATAAAATATAGATATAGTAAATTAAATAATTATTTTAATAAAATAATTTAGTAAAAAAAATTATCCCTGACTATTTTTCAGACTCAAGTATTATAAATGTACAATTATTCTACCTTGTCTGTGTTGCCTATTTATTTTTTTTATACTACTTAAATTTTTATTGTTTCACCGTGTAGATTAAATTATTACTTTTAATTATTTTCTTACTCATTGATTGTCTAATTGTTGTTTTTATCTGTTGACTGATTTGAGATAAAGGCCCTGATTTCGTTTCTTTATTGTTGAAGTATGAAATTGTATTGTTACCTTAAATGTCATTTGATTGATATGTGAATATGAAATGAAATGTCGATATTCGATTAGTGGTTATTTGATGATGGGAATCTATATATGAAAAGCTTACTGGATGCCTTGAAAAATGGTGGACGGACCTGATAGATAGGAAAAACTCTACAGTGGATATTACGTTAGCTCGACGGGGCTAAAAAATTCCATACCAAAAGGGTTGGAAGATATGATTCACATTCATACCGGACGAAGTATCGAGACGATGGTGTGTTTGTGTTACATATAATTATAAATGTTATATGTGTGTTTGTCCTATAAGTTGATTTCGAAAAACTCGTAACGGTAAGTATAAAAATAATATTTTGATGATAAATGAATTTATTTAAATAGAGCTCATAGTATTGTATTTTTACTAACTTTGTTTTCGTATAGTGATAGTATGATATATACTGGGGTAGCGTAGCTCATTCTATATTAACTATTTTAAATTAAGAGAACTAAGATCTAGATCCCGATTAGCAAAAAAATTGTGAGTAATTTAACTTTCGAATCCCTTTAAGAGGTAGTGGAGATTAACCAATTTAAATTAAGAGAACTAAGATCTAGATCCCGATTAGCAAAAAAATTATGAGTAATTTAACTTTCGAATCCCTTTAAGAGCTAGTGGAGGTTAAACTCATAATATATTTATACATTTACAATATTTATTAATAAAATGACAAGTTGTTTCACAAGTATAAAATAAAATAATTTTTTTTTTTTTAACCATATTAGTTTATTTTATTTCATTTTTTGCTGATTTGGAGGAATAAAAAATTAAATAAAAAATTATTTTTATATATTTTGTTAATTAGGTAACATATATTAATTATAATTCAATTTTTAACGAGAATATACTCTAATTTATAATTTATATAAAAAATAAAATAATAATAAATATTAAGACAAAATTTTATGACTTTTTTTTTTTAAAAAATAAATAAATAAATAAAAATCCTCAAATCATACCATATTTTAAACCTTAAAAATGAGACAAGCCAACACTACCCAAAATATCCGAAAACAAAAAACAAAGCCCGCAACAAAATAAATTAGGAGGACCCACGTGCAAATAACCTTTTCTACCAAATTATTATTTTTATTTATATTTTTTCCGTTTAAAATTTTTCAATTCCACCATCAACGATCTGGAGCGAGGAAGGAAGAATATGGTGCCACGTTGGCAGCATGAAACTGCGCCGTTTTGTCAGGTAGTACTTACGTGTATCGGATTTCGTGCTTGCAAGTTGCGCGGTTGGTTTATTTGATTATTTTTATGCCACGTGGACTCCGTTTCGTTCGCTCATGTTGGGACCCACAGGTGATGGACCCCCATGCTCTTCGCTTTAGTAACTGGCATCGGCAACTTGCACGCACGGTTTACGTGGTGAGGACTACCAATCAAAATAATATTTAAATTACGAAAAAACACAAATTAATTTTTTATATATATATATATATTCAAAACCTCACGTGTTATTTTTTTAAATAAAAAATAATATATTTAATATAGTTTTCACTGATTTCCCATTTAGATTAATTACCCTTCGTTCTTCTATATGTATGTTATATATATATGTATATATATATATATATTTATATATGTGATTTAAATATAAAATTAAATTAAAACCCTGAACAAATTCAAAAGGTATTGAACATAATTGCTGAAGATGTTGCAGCTAGATGTCAGCAACCCATAACACTTTGATCATTACCCTCCAATAATTATAATTGAACGACCAATTTTAAATTTTCATTTATCAAAATATAATACGTTGAGAAAACTCCAAAGGAGTTGCATATTCCAATTTCTTTTTCTCGTAAGAAGGAGAATAAAATTCTTCATCAATAAATAAATATATTTCAATAATTAAGTAAAACATATATACTTATTATAATATAATTTTATATAAAAAATATTATTATTTGATTAAATAGCTGATTCAATTTTATTCTAAAAATATTATCATATGTTGATTAATTTTATCAAATATTAAATAATTAATAGGGAAAAGAAAGAAAAAATAATTTTTAGAAAATTAAAGAAAAAAACTAGAATAAAAGTAAACCCAATCTGTATATGTATATATATATACACAAGAGTAAATATATAGAAAAATCAAAATTGGTTTTGCCAACTAATATAACATAAAAAAAAAAAAAAAATTAATAAGTGAAGTTGCTGAGTAATTGAGGGTATGCAACTTGTGGGTTGGTGCAAATCATGCTTCCGAAACCAACCTAATTATATTTTTTTTGTCACGTTTATATTTTCGAATTAACATTATTGTATTTGACCAAACACCCCATACGTGGGGCATGCCTCTCTCTCTCTCTCTATATATATATATATACACACACACACACACACACATACTATAATATATATATATATATATATATTTGTAATTTATAATATTTAAGTATTTAAAGTTTATGATGATTGTTAGTCATATTCCTTAAGAATATTGAAGTCTTCAAACATGGACTTTGTACGAATAGAAAACCATGATTTTAACAATATTATTTAATAACTAATCACAGTCATTAACACAAAAAAACATGCTTCTAATCATAACAATTATCTCTATGTATTTTGTTAGTTTAAAATAAAAATTTCGGAATAGGAAAATAATTATTTAGCTAGCAAGTCTATTGTTGTTTCAACTTTCCTAAAAATGAAATACGTTTATTCACGATTTAATTACAATTAAATAATACTAATTGATGTATTATAACAATAATTAAGTAATTTAGTTAATTAAGTATGTGGGTTAAATGTAAGTAAGCAATGAGTTATTGCACGTGATTGTTTATAGATCCTTCCAAACTATAAAATGTGTTGTAGTTGGATACTCATACAATCAAAAAGTCAATGTCATTTTGACAAATCTATGTGCATAATTTGACTCTCATATCAAATAAATGAATATTTTTGGTGAAATTTATTTTAAATTTTATACTTATTTTAAGTTATTTTTGAAATTTAAAAATAGAAAATGATGTAATTTAAAATAAAAATCGAGATAATATAAATTTAGAAATTTTTTGTTTTATTTTAAACTATAAATTTTTCAAATAAATTTTATAAATGAAATTTATTTTTATAAACACAGTCTTAAATGATAAAAACCTTCAAATATAATAAAATTATATATTTTAGTTTATTTACATTTAAATATATTTTTAAGACATCTTTTTACTATTTAAATTTTTTAAAAATATATACCCAAAAAGTAACTGTATTTTTTTTTTCAAAAAATTCGTATTGATCTATGTAGTATTTTTTTTATCCACATAAATTTCGTACTTTTAAAATTTTATATAAACTAATTTTTATTATTAACGATATATTTAACATTATTTAATTTATAATGTAAATAATATGATAATATAAATATTTTTTTTTAAAAAATGACCAGCGTATCTGTTATATAACTGGTATACTAATAATTTTTAAAAATATTATTAATGCGATTGACATACTAATAATATTATTCTTATTTTTTTAAATTTTTTATTCTGTTTTTTCTACTTTTATACATGATATTTTCATATTTATTCACAATCATTTTTAAAAATATAATATTAACGTCACCACGTTATTTGCAGCATGAACATCTATTAAACAATGTTAAATATATTATTTAAGTTAGAGGCTAATTTAGATAAAAATTAAAAAAATATGAATTGTATTTGAATTAAAACTTTTTATAAGGGAAAAGTACATGTATTTTAGGGTATATATATATATATATTCCAAAATAAAACTTATTTATTCATGATATAGCTAAGTACCTTGTCATTAATTTATCATGAAAATATTCATTTCATGTTTCCCAATTAGGACAAGAGATTCAATTAATCATATAATAAAATGACATAATTAGATTTTCAATGAAAAATTTGATCACATGATGCTTGCAACAAAATCAACAGGATTTTAGGACCATCATATATGTAATAAATAATTGACTTACTTACAAAGTATACATATATAGAAAATCTAAGAAGGTAAAAAAATTATTTTTTTTTATAAAAATATTATGAATGTAAAATAGGAAATTACAAATAAAATAAAAAGTCGTTCCTAAAAATTTGAAGAGTCACATAAAATTTATGGTCAGCCTTCAATCTCTCCCACGGGAAAGTGCATCTGGGAATGGGTTTACACACTGAAATCTGACCACACAGACCCCAAAAAGGAAAGTAAAAAGCACAAAAAGCGAAAAATATCTCACAAGACAATTTGGTCATTGCGTATATAGAAAGGGTAGTTTTGGTATTTTACTATACACTGCACATGCTGTATCGCACTTTTCTGAAGAACCCTTTTTGGAATTCTCTTCTTTTTTCTTAACTTCAAGAAAAAAAAAATTGTTTTTCTTTTTCTTGACTGTTTCTAATCAATTCACAGATTCACAGCCATCTGGGTGTGTCTGTTAATCTCTGAATTCTGTCGTCTTATTAACCCCCTTTGCCTGGAATAAGGCTCCTGTTAGTGAAACTGTCGAAAAGCCTCTGTCTCATCCTCTCTCAAAGTTTTCATTTTTTACTCATTTTTGTTTTTTTTAATTAATTTTCCTGCCAAGTAAAGAAGAAGAGTAAAAGGCGTAAGGGTTTTGTGTAGCTTCGATTTATGATGAAGATATAAAAAGATATTTGTGAGAAGGCGTTTATCTTTCTCTGAGAAAAACAATCTTCTCCAGCCACCTTATCTCACTTTCTCTCTCTCTCTCTCTCTCTCTCTCTCTTGTGTGTATGTTCTCGTCTTGAAAATCCAAAGGCCTTTTGGGATTTTCTTGAAGAGAGCTTCTGTTAGGTATAGAGAGAGATAGAGAGAGTGAGAGGCATGGAGGCCGTTTTACAGAGCAGAGGTCTTCTCTCCCTACCCCCCAAACCTACTCAATCCAGAGTCCTTTTACACCCATCGCAAGGCTTAAAGCACAGGCTTTTCTGCACAAAGCCTAAACCATTTTCTGGGTTTTCTCTGTCTTCAAGTGCGTATCAAAGGGTTCATGGGTTTGCAACGAAGCCGCCCATTAATGGGTTTTCCGTCAAAGAGAAGAATCTGCATATCTGCAGGGCGGAGGCTGCGGCTGCAGCTGATGGGCAGCCTTCGCTCGGCGAGCAGGATTCGCCCAAGTTCCTGGGTATGGAGATGGTTACCCTCAGAAAGATTATCCCCCTTGGGTTAATGTTCTTTTGTATCCTTTTTAATTACACAATACTTAGAGATACGAAGGATGTTTTGGTTGTGACGGCTGAAGGGAGCAGTGCTGAGATTATCCCTTTCTTGAAGACTTGGGTTAATTTACCTATGGCTGTTGGTTTCATGTTGTTGTATACAAAGTTGGCAAATGTGTTGTCTAAGCAGGCTCTATTCTACACTGTTATTCTTCCCTTCATTGCCTTTTTTGGGGCATTTGGGTTTCTTATGTATCCTCTTAGCAACTTCATTCATCCTCAGGCTCTTGCTGATAAGTTGCTTAATGTTCTGGGTCCAAGGTTTCTTGGTCCGCTTGCAATTATGAGGATTTGGAGCTTCTGTTTGTTTTATGTTATGGCTGAACTTTGGGGCAGTGTGGTGATCTCAGTTCTCTTTTGGGGGTTTGCTAATCAGGTGATTTATCTTCTTATCTGAGGTGTTTCCCTTAGGATTATGTGCTTTGTTGGTTGGGGATGTTGATTTTTTTTTTTTATATTCATTTTGATTCTGCTGTTAGAAAATTTGTTTTCCAAAACTTTAGAATTATCATGTATTGAGATTCCATTAGCTGCTTATTGAAGCATCTGATAAAATTATATGAATTTAAATCTGAAATTGATCCAAGATTATTTTACACCAGGCTGCATATCCACTTGTTTGTGTTGCATGTCTTAAGTATGCTGATGGGATTTTGGTTTTTGCTTTTGCTGATATCTGTAATCAGTATTCATTTTTGGTGTCTCTTTCTTAATCTGGGATCTGCTGAGACATGGAAGAAAATGGTTCAATGTGTCTCATTTTGATCCATGATATTTTCTAATGCGCAATTTATTGATTTATTTTTTGTTTTGAATTTGTGGCAAGATGCATGTATTCCTAGATGTTTTTGATTTGTGTCAAGATGCATGTGTTCCCAGATATTATTTTGGATGCCTTGAAAAGGATAACTCATGGCTGGTTATGATGGCTTCAGCTCAAAACGAAATCACCTGAAATTCCCATGACAACGAAATAAAATGTGAAGTTCGGATCAGACAGGTCTCCTTGATTTGATTTATTTGCTATGGCTTTCACTAAGTTTTAACAAAGCTGAATTCCACATGAAGTCCTTCTGGTGCGCAGAGTGACAAGATGTTTTTATTCTGGAAGTGAACGAGCCTAATGCTTGTCATTAACCTTTGGTCTTTGTTGTCTAGCTAAATTTGCTATTGGCTTCTTCTGATTTTCTCCGGACTTTGAGTATCTAGCTGATTCATGTCCGCATATGTTGTATGTGCCTTCTGGGTGAATTGAATTTCTGTTTTTATCTGCTTGGCAGTTTACAAGTCATGGAGGTTTTTCTAATTTTTACAGCAACAAAGCAGTGGATGCTGGCGAATTTTAACTAGTAGTAGCCATATTAAGGACATAGCATTCACTAAAGAAAACTGAAATTTTGTCAAATGAGTAAGCCAATTTGGGACTGAAAAGAAAAAAACTATAAACTTGTTATGAAGTTTTATGCCATGGTTATCTTTTTTAATGATTTAACATTGATTACCTGCAAATTTGATTAAATTGTTCAGTTTCATTGTCTCTGGTCTTTCTAAGTTAGCCTTTTTGCGTACGTGTTTTCGGTGATTTGAGCTGTTGGTAAATGGGGTTTGATATTTTTTATGCAGATAACTACTGTTGACGAAGCAAAAAGATTCTATCCTCTATTTGGACTTGGGGCCAATATCGCCCTTATTTTTTCAGGCCGAACTGTGAAATATTTCTCGAATTTGAGGAAAAATTTAGGCCCTGGAGTTGACGGTTGGGCCATCTCCTTGAAGGGAATGATGAGCATTGTGGTGCTGATGGGACTAGCAATCTGTTTCCTTTACTGGTGGGTGAACGCATATGTTCCCCTTCCAACCCGTAGCAAGAAGAAGAAGGTAAAAAAAATTCTCTAGTTCATCTTTTGCTGCTTCAATGACATATGCTTATCATCAATCACATTTATGTAAACCACTCTTAGTCAAGGCACTTGAAAAAGTCTTTTTCTGAGAATTTGTGTGTAGCTCATTTTCATTGTATGAGAACTGTCATATTGCTCAAAGAATGTAATGCCATACCTTCCTGGGAAAGCCGGTTTCTCTGCAGCTATGCTGGCCATATGCTACCGAGCAGCCTTTTACTTCTGCTCATATGCAAACTTATACAAATAAGCACATGTATCTTGGCAAGATTGTTAGTAAAATTCTTTACGGAGACTAGATGATGACAATTCCATTATTGTGAATTACTGTGCAGGAAAAACCAAAGATGGGGACAATGGAAAGCTTGAAATTTTTGGTGTCATCACCATATATTAGAGATCTTGCTACCTTGGTGGTTGCATATGGTATTAGCATCAACCTCGTTGAGGTTACATGGAAATCCAAGCTCAAAGCTCAGGTGAACTAAAACGAATATTTTGTTTCTTTTGTATTTTCCTGGTCGATGCAGTGCGTAATCTTTCTGTTTCTCTCGCAGTTTCCTAGCCCAAATGAATACTCTTCCTTTATGGGAGATTTCTCAACTGCGACTGGTATAGCGACCTTCACGATGATGCTTCTCAGCCAATTTATATTTGACAAGTATGGTTGGGGAGTCGCGGCCAAAATCACACCTACTGTTCTGCTTCTGACTGGTGTTGGTTTCTTTTCTCTGATATTATTTGGAGCTCCACTGGCACCTGCGCTAGCAAAGTTCGGGATGACACCCCTCCTTGCGGCAGTATACGTGGGTGCTTTGCAGAATATTTTCAGCAAGAGTGCAAAATACAGTTTGTTTGATCCTTGTAAAGAAATGGCATATATTCCGTTAGACGAGGACACCAAGGTTAGTTTAGTTTCTCTTATGCATGGGAAGCCATTTGAAATATTTGAAATTCTCCGAATTCATCTTTTCCTTTCTATTGTTTTCTTTAGGTCAAAGGGAAAGCAGCCATCGACGTTGTCTGCAATCCGTTGGGGAAATCAGGAGGTGCCCTCATTCAGCAGTTTATGATCTTAACCTTTGGTTCTCTCGCAAACTCAACTCCCTACCTCGGAGGGATACTTCTTCTGATAGTTTCTGCATGGTTGGCGGCAGCCAAGTCTCTGGACACACAGTTCACTGCATTGCGCCGGGAAGAAGAACTCGAGAAGGAGATGGAAAGAGCTGCCGTTAAGATCCCAATTGTATCGCAAAGTGAAAGCGGGAACGGTTCCCTTGCAGGTGGTTCAGCACTGAACCCGGCACCAGGTGACCCATCAAGCAGTTCTCCCGAAACAACAACTCCTCGCAATGTTTAAGACGATATTAGATAATTTGTTCGACGTAGGATTTACTTTTTTGAATCTATAGAAAACAATAATAGCGTAGCTAAAGAGAGTTAAGTGTCTTGACTGTTTCCAGTCTCATTTTTTTCTTCTTCTGGTTTTGGATAAGGAGCATATTGTCTGTTTTAGCTCCAAGTTCTTTCTGTATTTTGTAGAATTTGGGTTTTAATGAGGAAGCCTGTCAAAATTTAATAATTTCATTCATACTTACAATAGTAGCCATGTGTGATTTCATTATTTCTAAAAGTAGTGGTATAAAATTGATTTTAGAAAACTAATTTAATATATAAAATACATTCATGTATGGACAAGTTTCTGCAGATTCTAATGTGGATTGTTAAATTTTAATGTATAATAATTATTTGTACTAACAAATCTATTGACTGTTGATTTAATCCATTAATGTATATACATTAATGACTGCAGATTAAACTGTATTTGTACTGATACATACATACATATATATTAACTATTCCTAAACCCAGTTCAATAGATACATTCATATGTGTAATAGATACATGTTTATAAAATAGTATTGAAACATCAAATTAAACCATATTTTTTAACACAAATTTTCTCTGGTCCATCATTTAATTTGGTTCAAATCAAATTGAACCTGACTTATTTTTATATAATTACCATGTTCAATTAAAACATGCACAAATACATTTAAATTTGGTCCTTCCTCTCATCTCCTTAATTATTTATTTTAAAGATTAAAAAATATAAAAATATTATCCGACCAGTTCAAATAGATGTATTTTTTGATTTTTTTTTTGACTATTTAAATAAACAAACGATCATTTGAATTGAACAGGTAGGATGAATTTAAGCAAATTAACAACAATGAATTTTGAAGTGTTAATTTATGTAAAGTACAGAATGTTAAGGTAATGAAAATAATATATTTATTAAGAGTATAAACTCTGATACTAAATGACGCGAATGGACAGAAAATGACCATTTTGACTTTCGAAACTTCACACAATGTAACACCAGAACTTTTAATCACCTAATTTATCATCCGTGCTTGAAACTACACCCAACAATATAGAATGTAAATTCAAGATAGCTAAGAAAAATAAAAAAAATTAGAAAAGGCACAACAACTTAATCGATAAATCAATTCTGAATTCATTGACTCAACAAAATTTCTGAAACTCCCTAATTTAAAGATACACGAAGAACACAAAAAAAAAATTAATGAAGCTAATTTTAAAAAAGTAAAAGCTTATAAATATTATTGATGTTAAAAATTATGATTATAATCTAAAGATTGAAGTCTTTAAATAAATTTTTTATTTTACGAATTTAGCTCGGAATAGATTTACATATTCCTATTTTAATTTCAAAACTTAATTTATCTCGAACTTTTGCTGAAAATTAATTAAATAATTAAATATTTACCTAAAACTCTAAATAAATTAATAAAGTAATATGCAATTAATTACTTGAAGTAGAGTTCTCCTTCCTTGAGCCGAACTCCTTAGCTTCCTTTTATGCTTGTTTTGGTCTCCAACATTGCGTAGAATTCCAAGAGGTTGCAGGAGTTCGATGGAAACAAGCAGTTTTATTGAAAGAACAAGAAGACGAGAATGTTTATGGTACAAGGTGAAAGGTGCATAATTATATATAATAATAATAAAATAAAACCAGTTTTATTGAAAAAAATATGTATGAGAAAGTTGTTACTCAAATCTCTAAAAGTATTTGATTTAAAGAATTTAATTTTTTTTTTTTGATATATTAGTCGAATGATAATAACTTAATTGAAGTATTTCCATTCTATAAAAACGAACCTTCAATCATAATTAATAGGGTGTTCCCCATAACAAGCAGGACTTGCAGGTTTGGACAAACACCGAGCAGCTGCTTCTCTCTTTGCTCTTTCTCTTTTGTTGGTCTTAGATGACTTTGAGATTGAGCCCTTTGCATTCGTTATATTTTCTAAAACCCTAACACCTTATCTGAAATAGGTGGACTTTGATCGTTTGATTCATCTTTCAACATGGGTAAACCAAGCAAAAGGTAAAGTTTTAAGCTTTTCATGCTTGAACTTTTTTTTTTTTTTTTGGGTCTGTGGGTTGTTGGGGGGTTTGATTACCTTTTAAAATCTCATGTTAATGAGGAATAATTCTACAAATTACTGATTTTCTTTACCTGTTTCTTAACGTTTGGCAATGCAGACCGGGTTCTACTTCTTAAGCAGATGCTAAATTCAGAAAGAAACTCGAGTTTCGTGCCAGTAAGTTTAATTCAACTGAAACTCATTTTTATTGTCTAGATTGTTGGTTTGCTTATGAATTTCATATTTTTAGGGAATTCATTTCTTTCAAACATTAGTTGCTTCAAAATAACCCAAATAAGCTGGTGTATTAGGGGAAGAAAGGTTTTCCTTCAATGCAAGATCTATTTGTGTTTTTTGCTTTGCTTTGGGTCAAGGCTTATGTTCTTGTGGATTGCAAATGAGCTCAGTTTTATGCTTAGAACGTGGATAACAATGTTGATTTGCAAATGAATTCCATACTTTTTGTGGAATATATTCGTCACAAACATAGGTGTGTCCCAAAGAAGAGAAGACGTGTGGATATAAGGCATTTTTGTTTGTTTTCACTGATAGATCAATTGGTACTCTTTGCTTTGAGGTTAAAATTCAGTCTTTTTTGAGGGTTTTCTTTATCTACATAGATTGAAATACCATTTTGTATTGGTGGGCTTTCTTTGTTTCTTGTTCTTTTTTGCTCTTATAGGAGGATGTTTTATCCCTTCTCTCTATCATGTTTCTCGTAGCTTTTATTTTGAGTTTATTTTGTTAGGGTATGACATTATTATTGATGAGAATTTTGGGAATGTCATTGACACACTAACTACTTTATAACACTTTTGTAATGGGTGGTACCCCCTGTTTTTTGGTACCCTATTAATATATATATTTACATTTTTTATTTAAAAGAAAATGTTTCTCGTAGCCTTAAGTTATTTCTTCTTCTCAGAGTAAAAGAAGGAAAAAGAACAATCGGAACTAACAGAAACTTAATGAAGAACTCCTATGATCCAAATACAGACATATATGTCCATGGTATCATGGTTTTATGGAAATTGAAAGATTAATTAACATCCTAAAATGTCTTTCAAGTGACCGAGTAAGGTTTATGTAATTCGAGTAAATATAAAAATTTGTTTGAAGTCTATTTTTCTTTTTATTACTTTTCCCTGAAGCGTTGAAAGGGATTCGGTTGTAATTTTTGGGTGTGA